TGGTGGAACCTTTAGGAAACGGAGTCTGATGGGAGGTTTTAAGTCACTGGGGACATGCTCTTGAAGCGGATTGTGGGACCCCACTCCTTTCCCACCCCACTTCTGCTTTCTGGCCTTGAGGCGAGCAGCTTTTACTCTGGCACGTGCTCTCACCATAATGTACCACAAGGCCACTTGATCATGGACTGGAACCTCTACACCCATGGGCCAAAATCAACCTCCTGTGCTTACAAGTTGCTTATCTCAGGTATTTGTTATAGTGACGGAAAGCTAACCTGGTTCTCATGTGTAAAAGTGAACGAAAGTCATAGAAATAAGAATGTGTTCACTCTTCATGTACCCCACCTGTAAGATGCTCACCTCAAGGGGCTGATGTGAGGAACCAAGTGAATCATGACACCCAGTCACTTTCTTCATCAGAAAGCACCTTCTGCAAAAAAAAAAAAGAAAGAAAGAAAGAGAAAAGGAAAGAAAGCACCTTCTGCAGGTTAAAGCTGGCCACTAAGGAAAGCTCAGATTGTACTTCCAAATACATATCTATCTAGAACAGGAAAGAAGACATTTGACAGTTAAGGAACATATAAAGTAAAAAGTGAGCTGAGACCCAAATAAGGACAAATAGAAGAGACCCAGGGGAAGAGTTAAGTAAGGAGGCTTGAGGAATGATCAATATGTGCATATTCTAGATATAAAATGCTATCTGGGGGAAAGTGGGGAAGCTAGATTGGGACTGGTTCAAGGATGCTGTAAAGTTCGGATGTTAGCTCATAGAGTGGTTTCTCCTGAACTTGAGTTCTTTATACACTATCCTATTATTTTTTTCCAAATGTATTCCCTATTTTTAAAATTTTTAATCCATACGTCATAATTGTGCATGTTTGTGGGACACAAATGTGATGTTTGTACTCACTGGATGAATGGATAAATAAAATTTGTGTCTACACACACACACACACACACACTCACACACACAAAATGAAATACTATTCGTACTTCAAAAAGGATGAAATCCAGTCATTTGTGACAACATGAATGAACATGAAGGACCTAGTGTTAAGTGAAATAAGCCAGGTACAGAAAGACAAAAATATCACATGATCTCACTCATTGTATAATCTTATATAAACGTTAATTTTGTATAAATTCAGAGTAGAATAGACCAGATACTGCAGACAGGTTGAGGAAGGAGAATGGGGAGGATTTGTTCAGTGGATACAATGTTAGAGTTAGAGAGGAGAAATAAGTTCTGGTGTTCTATTGCAAGGTAGGATGGCTACGGTCAACAACATATTATCTATTTCAAAAGAGCTAGAAGATTTTGAATGTTCTCACCACAAGGACATGTGCCCCCCTATTATATTATCAACTTAATAGTATCCTATAAATATTAATGTTCACTCACTTTTACTTTCAGTCATATCCTAAGCAATAATATCTGTTAATGAACAAGTTTAATAAGCTAGGTAAACACTTTTCTAATACACATGAAAATTAATTTATAACTATAAAAATTATTATTCTAAAAACTATAAAAATTTATTTATAACCATAATTCGTAACTTAAAAATCAATTTATGCATCCTTCCTAAAATCCTTTGTGTATGACCATGGTAAATGGGCCCCACAGGGCAAATGGTGCTATTGTGAAGGGTTTGAAGGGAAATGGGACATAATTAGAACGGCCTCTTTTCTGGTAGTCCAGGAAAAATACCAATTGGGAGGTTATTTCAATTGTCCAGAGGTCCCTCTTAACTTAGGGACAGAGGAGAAGGTGGACTTTTGGAACAACATGCCACAGACACTCAGGGCTGTATGCCTGGCAGGATGGAGGGGGGCCTGAAAAGGAGGCACCCAAGAGAACATCAGTGTCTTGAAACCCAGATGCCCAAACACTTTGAATACACAGAAAATTCCTTCAGTTCACATTGATTAACTGAAAAGCAGAACTTAGCATAAATTAACTCATCCTGAAGTTAACATAAATTCTAGGTCAATTCTTTGGAGAAATAGAAGAAAATTAATAGAGTGATTTACATATATAGATTTTAAAAGTCTCTGAGGAAAATTGGGTTTTGAGAGACCATGTGTTTTCACTCATCAAAGACCCATTTAGGGACATCACCACATCAGGAAATAATTTGTGTGAAACATGAAGATATCAAAGATAAATGGCCTAAGAACAGGACAAACAAGTTACAAAAGAGGACGTACAACTGGCCAAGAAAATATGAAGAAATGCTAAGTCTTACCAAGAAAAATAGTGTCAAAGAAAGCAACAACGTGTTACTATTTTCAACTATCAAAAGAACAGCTTTTATGACTGTGCTTGTTAGTCATTAGGGCCTTCACCAGACAATTCTCTCTCCCTTAAAAGCCCAGGAAGGAGTCCACTTCCTGTCTCTGTGTGGTGGGTGGGGCCATGTGACTAGTTCTGGCCAATGAATTATGAGCAGAAGTGATATTTATGACTTCTGGGCTAGTTGGCTTAGCTGCCAGTTGGAGACACCCAGAGCTTTCTTTCCGTTTGCAAGTGTCCAAGCCACATTCCAGATGGTGGCTGCTCAGTCAGTGGTCCCCGAGCGAGGACACCTGGAGAGGAGCCCAGCTGACATAGGATGGACATGGAGCACAAGCAAGAAGTAAAATGGGATCGTCACCAGCCATTAAGAACCAGGGGGCGGGAGTGGGGGGCTGTTAATAATCCTACCACTTGATTCAGTGATAAGACTCAGTGTGGCAGGGGAAAAATAAACCAGGAATAGAATATACACTCCTCTAACTCAGTTTAAAAACTGTTAACCCCCTTTGATCTAGAAAATCCATGTATGGAATCCCAAAAATTCAAAATAGAAACATAACATGGAAAAATCTTTATAGTCAAAGTTATCAACTAAGGGTCAAAAGCATGAACTTGGTCAAAATATTATTAGTTTGAATTGAGGCCACCCCCTGCCAGCTGTGTGACCTTAACAGATTTATTTAACTGTTGAAAACTTGGTTTCTGTATCTGCAAGATGGGGGAGTTATTTCTTTAGCTCAAAGGGTTATTCCAAGAACAAATTTCACACTGCACTAACAAACTTTAACAAAAGGCTACTCGTATGCTGTTTTAAACACACACACACACACACATCCCACAATGCCACTTTGTTAGTTTGGCCAGGGAAAATTTGGATGCAACCCAATTAGTAAGAAAAGGCAGTGGTAAAGGATAATGAACCACAAGATGGAAAATGTTTATGTGATGATGTTAATTTTAAAAGCATAAGACAAAATTGATCATATAATCTAAACATAATTATGGAAAAAAAATGAATAGAAAAATAATGAATAGAAATATTTCAAGATCATAAGTAGTTGGAAAGTGAAATGATTGGTGATTTGTTTTTCTCCTTTTTTTTTTTTGTTTTAAAAATTCCTAAAATGAGACATGAATGTACAACCTGAAAGAAGGCTTCTCCAGTTTTGAATCTAGGCCCCCCCACTGAACAAGTTATATAACCTTTCTGGGTTGGCAGGTAGAGTTCCTTACCTGCCAAGTGGGAAATTGTGTGTCTACCTTGTGGTGTTATTTTGAGTGATAAATTAGATAATCCTTGCACAGTTATGAGCATAATGCCTAAAACATAGTAAACAGCCAACACATATCATCTATTTATATCACAATTATCACCGTATATTTATTTTACAATAGTGGATAGAACATTGTTTCAAAATCTAAAATAAGGCTCTTAAGAGCAGGAGACTGTGCCCCCTTCCCTAGGGAAGTTCATGGTCCAGGGTAGATACAAGGCAGAAGACAAGCGGGTCAAGGCCACCGAACAGAACAGAAAGCAGTTACCCCCTGGGTTAAGAGAAAAGAGATGGCCCAAATGCTGTCCCAAGTAAGGCACTTGGCTTGGAGCTGCCACCTCCCCAAGGTCAGGGCCAGCGTGTTGGGAGCCCGCAGAGCCCTCTCTCTGACAGCCGCCCCTGCAGCAGCTGGCCTTCCCCCATGATGGATGGGAATTACAGCCGTTTTCAAGAGACCAACAGAAGGCAGCCTGTGTCCTGATAAGCTATAACAACAGTAGTAAAGTTCTAAGGAGACCGGAGGGTCCCCACAACCACACACTTCCCGCGGCCGTGGCTGCGTAATTATAGCAGCGACAGCTGGGCAGCCCAGGGACATGACTGGAATAGACTAAGGCGTGGGCATATGGTGCTGCTGGTGGGCAAGGCCAGCCCTCCCTCCCCCGCTGCCCAAGTTCAGCTGCATCTTCAGGCCTGTCTGTCAGGAGGCCATGAAAGAGACTGCTTGTGCACAGAAGGGGACAGGTGCCAGGGAGGGGAGCCCCAAAGGTTCACTGGTGTCCAAGGCCGGGCACACAGTAGGAGCACTGCAATTGCCTGCTCAGTGGTCTGCATGTCCGAGGCATATTCCATATTCTTGATGGGTATCTGTTTTGACTCCAAGGCCTTCCACACAAGGCCTGGGCTAGCAGAATACTCTCCAGCCATCTCTTTGGACCTGCTCACTGGAAACCACCTAGAATCACCTGTTCTCAGGCAGAATGACTGGATGAGCTGCCCTCTCCTCTGGCTGTCCCCTCAATGTCTGCCGCAATGACCATCCCTTGCATGCACATTCACAAGCCTGTCTCCTCCACAAGCTCTTTGCAAAGAGAGGTTGTGCCTTCATCCTTTTTGAGTTCATCCATTTGTTCAGTTTATTTGTTCAATCATTTCCATCATTTGTCAAACACACTAAGTGTCTGTGATAGGCCATGAGCCATGCCAGATACTAACCAAGACAGACATGCACCGCGCCACACCAAGAATGGATTAAGAGAAAAAGACAACTAAAGGGGAAATTTACAAAGCAAAACCTTTGGGGTTTAGGTCATGATAAGGTGCTATAACCTGTGGCGAGGAGACCTAATAAGTCCTCATCAAGAAATCAAGGCAGACTTTCAGAGGGAAGAAAGGCAGGTGTTCAGGAAGTTAATAAAAATTAGGATTGGGGTGTGGCTTGGTGGTAGAGTGCAGGCTTAGCATGCCTGAGGCCCTGGGTTCAATCCCCAGCACCAAAAAAAAAAAAAAAAAGTTAATGAGAATGAATTATCTGTGGGGAGGGGGAGACCATGGGGGAGGAACTAAGGAGCTGCAGGAGACAGCCTGGTGGATGATGGCAAATTCTGCAGAACTTTCATTTTAGAGGCAATGAGAAGTCACCCGGGGTCTTAAGCCAGAGAATGGCATGATCAGGTCCACATTTATTAAAATAACTCTGGTGTCCTCTGGAGGGAAGAGATGGGCACAGAGTAGGAGAGAGTCAGGGCTCAAGGGTTAGGGGTGCCCCTTCTGAGGACAGACCCAGAACATACCTGCAGCTCTCTGCTCACTGAGCTCAAGGAGGAGCAAGTAGATGGGCAGGTGCCTAGGTTTTGCTCCCCTGTTATCCAACGTGCACATGGAAGCCATGGAAGGGAATCCATTTTCTTTGATATCTTCATGAATCTTCATAGAACTCCTCTTGCAGAGAGGGATGTGCTGGGCTGACTCCCTGGCTTCTGTCTGGAAGCAGATCACTGGGATAGCAGGGCACATGGGTCTGACTGCCATGGAGGGTCCTTCATGCACAAGGAAGACTCCCACAGGTGTGGGAGTTAGATAGGATGCTCTCCCAGAAAGTCCACCAACTCCAGTCTATAGGTCTAATCCCTGATCTATCGGCTAAGCATTTAGGGTACTGCCATTCAAACCCTATGTGTATACCACTAAATGCCTCTGCTCCTATTGACATGATGTCGATAAAGAGGGATGCATTATAAAGAGGGATGCATTGGGCTCCTCCACCAAGAAGCCCGTATTGTGTCCCAGATTGATTAAGCCTCCAGACCTTCTTCCACACCAGCCAGCTACAGGGCTCCTGCCACTCTGCCCAGCTGGTTGCTCTCCTCCTCTGATATTAATGATCCCTAAATCCTTGCCCCCAGATTCCCAGCTTCCAAATTCCCAGCGGTCTTTAAAAACTGAAAGGTAATATGGTTGCTCTCTTTTTGCTTACAAAATCGCTACGCACTCTTTGCAGAAAGTGTCGAAACAAATACACTCACCAACATACACATAAAAATCAACATCATCCACATTCCAGCTTTCAGATGTAGACACCGATAACTTTGCATTCGTTTGCCCATTTCTTCCATGCGTACAGGTATGTGTTTAGCCATGGTATTTATTTTACTTGATACACTGGGATTGAACTCATGTTGGCAAATTTGTTTTCTGCAACGTCATTGTTAATCACCACAGAATTTCCTGCTGTGTGGATGTTCTGTACTTCAACCAGTCTTTTATTACACCCAATTTTTATGGTAACTACTGTAATCAATACCGTAATGAACATCCTGGGAATAAATCCTTAAAGAGGAGTTCATTGGATTTCATTAGAATAAATATATGAATGAGAGTAACATATCAAAAGAAATTTGCTCTTCTAACACTTTTGGCCATGCATTGTAAAAAACACCTGTTAGAAATGTGTCCATTCATCCTTCCACCAACAGAATAATCCCTGAATCACTATTCCGCATACCATTTTCGTCAGAAGGAAGTATCATTGTCATAATCATCATGTTCCGACTGAGTTAATAGTTATCTACAACTTTCTATGTTCCCTGCATTGAGCTAAATGCATTGAATATATTATTCCTTTTAATTGTAACTCCTTAATCTCTAGTGAGGTTGAACTTTTCTTCTTACATCATTGACTGCTGTGATTTTTTTGTTATACAATTTCCTGCTTATACTTTTTGCCTATTTTCTCTTGCATGATTGCCACATAATTACTGGTTTGTAAGCATTCATTATATTAAAAGGATATTAAACAAGTTTGTTGCAAAACATGTTTATCCTCAGTCTGTGGTCTAATATTTAGCTTTGTTTAGAATCATTTTGACATAGAGAATTTCATTATTTTGGAGTCATTTAATCGACTAGTCCTTTATTTTATGGATTAAGTTTTCACGCGCACTCTTCGAAAGTACTCCTGCACCATGGCCTCAGATAAATATTCATATCTTTTTCTTAAAATCTTCCTATGGTTTTAAATTTCACATTTAAATATTATATCAATCTGGAATTTGTTAGTGCATGTTATGCTGCAAAGATCTATTTTTCTTTTCCCGCATGGTCAGCAAATTGACCCAATTTGACTTATGGAATTCTTCACCTTTTCCCCACTGATTTGAAATGCCACATTCATCTTATATGAAATTCATATTTACGTGTGCCTGCTTCAGCTCTCCTTGTACTGTTCCATTGATTTATCTGTCTATTTCTGCAATTAAACCAGACTGCTTAAATATACACAAAGCTGCAAGTACATCATTGCACACTGCTTACCCAGGAGAGTGCCAGTTCCTCTCCTCCTTCCACGTTTTCCAAAATGTTCTTGGCAATTCTAAAGTAACAGATGAATTTCAGAACAATCTTATAAAGCACCACCTCCTCCAAAGTCCCATGGGTATTTTTATATGGCTCCCATTAAACTTCTAGATCCTGTAGAGAGAATTGATAACTATATTGTTTGTAAACATTTTAGTTCAACAGCAGAGCACATTCTTCCACTTATAGTTCCTATTTTTTTCATCACATTTCTTGTTGAACTTCATGTGAGGTACATTATGTTTCTGTTCCTATCATAGATGGTACTTTTAAAAATCATTATAGAAAAACCATAACTTTTTTATTATGTTCTTATTTGGACCAAGCTTTATTTCTGAACTCACTTAGCAGAGTAGTCATTTTTCAGGTCTTTTCCGTGAATTCTCCAGGAGAAAATTCTATCACACATAACCGACAATACCTGGGTTATCTACTTTTAGATCCTCTTTTTTAAAAAAAAAATCTTGTTTTACTCAATTGGCCAGAATTTTAATATTGTGTTAACTTCCGGGTATATAGACAAAAGAAATGAAATCCACTTACCAAGCAGACGCCTGAATGCCCAGGTTTTTTTCCACACAGTTAAGATGGAATCAGCCTGGGTGCCCATCAATGAATGAATTGATAAAGAACATGTGCTATGTATATAAAATGGAGTATTGTTCAACTATAAAAAGGAATGAAATCCTGTAATTTGCAGCAAAATGAATGGAACTAGAGGACATTGTGTTAAATGAAATAAGCCAGACACAGAAAGATAAGCACTTCATGGTCTCTCTTATATGTGGAAGCTAAAAAATACTTTCAGGTTGGTATTATGAGACATTGGGATGTGGAGGGTAAAAACAGAAATTGTATGGAGATGTCACACTGAGCTCCATCAATATGTACAATTGATATCTGTCAATAAAATTATTTTTAAAACTGTGAAGTATGGCAGATATTGTGGGAATCCTTTTATATTTAAATAGAAATGTCTCTAGTTTTTCATTCTGAAGTATGATTCAGCTGTTCATTTGGGAGTTAGAATCTTTGTTAATAAAGAAGGTCTAATTTCTATCACACCAACAGCCATTAGCTTTTGGATTTTGTTTCTTGGGAATGAATGTTAAATTTTATTACAAACCATTTCAATAGAAGATGAGTGTAAATTTTCTCTCCTGATATTTTAAATATATTTAAATATATTAATATATTTTCTAATATTAAATTATCCTTAAATTACTTCATGGGAAAAAAAGAAGACATCATTCTTTTGTTCTACTGTCATTTTTTTCCATCATATTTTAGTTATTATTTTCACATTTTGTTCAAAAATGAGTTTCCCGTTTTTGAACTGTCTCTGTCCAGCTGTAGCATCAGAGTTACCACTTCATAAAATGAATTAAGTAGCGTTTTTAGAGGTAACTGTGCTCTGAAACTGTTTATATTTTTTAAAATATGTTTCTCATGAAAGCATCTTGTGTTTGCTTTTTTTGTTGGAAGTAAACTGTTGGTAACTGGAAACAGTTCTTATTTATTAGTTCAATAGTTCTATAGGATTGGATTGTTTTTATGTAATACATGTTTTCTTCTTAAACACAACCAATTCATATATATATATATATATATATATATATATATATATATTTTTTATTTATTTAAAAATCACCCATTTTCTTATATTTTTATTTTAATTATTCATTTTTTATTTGTTTATAATTCTGGGTGTGTACGTGTGTGTGTGTGTGTGTGTGTGTGTGTGTGTATGGTATTGGGGAATGAACCCAGGGCAAGCTAGGAAAATGCTTTACTACTCAACTGCAACTCCAGCCCAATTTTTTTTTTTAATTATTGAGGGAGAATTTTATATTCATTTTCTTGCTAAATATATCAGAAATTTACCTGCAGTTTTAAGGACCAGGCTTAAGTTGACCTATCAGTTTTTCTACTTCCTTATTTTTGCTCTTAAAGATAATTTATTTTACTTTGGTGAATTTAAGTAAATATGATTTTTTATATATAATATGCAATATTAAGCACATACATGTGCATGTAGTCACATAAAATGTTTTAATTCAACATATATTAAATATTGACTATACATACTAAATCACATTAAACATTAAATATTAATGTGTTTTATTTTTATTATTTCCTTTACTTTTCTTTTTTACTCTTGACTTAGAGCTTCTTTTCTAATATCTTGCATTTAGTACTTAGTTTATTTATATCATAAATTTTTAATTTAATAATAGAAGTATATGGACTAGGAATTTTCCTAATTTCAACTTTGAACATCCCATGAGTTTGGCTTCTCAGTGGTCCCCATCATTGTTTTCTATTTATTGTATTATGATCCATGTTTTAAAAAAAAAAAGGTTTCAACTAAAAATCACATCATAATTTTGTCTTATTTTAATTGTTCATTTTTCTAAATAAAAATAAATAAATATATGTCACAAATAAATTTAGTGTGGAAAATGCATAGAATTAAAATTAGCTGATCCCAAAATAAATAATTTCAGCCATATAAAAGTTAAAGTTTCTTTCTCTGCAATTCACACCACCAACTAAATTTTAAAAGTGACAACCTATGAAGAGTTTAAAACAATCAATCAATGAGAAAATATAATTTACTGGAATATAGGAAAATAAGTACAGA